ATACCTGGAAAACCCTTACGCCTTTTAAAAACGCCGGCGCCGGGTAAAACAGCCTTTTAGCGGCTGGATGCGGGATTGGGCGGCTGGCGGCGGAATCGTAGATTTGGAGGCTGATTTGTGTTTTCGGCCGTCGCAGCCGTTTATCTCTCCTCTTGGAGCTGCCGATGCCCCTTGAAGGTGTGCCCACCTCTCTGCTACAGCTGTTGTGATTGGGATCGGTTGTGAATTGTGCTTGAGCATCTGATTCTCCAGCTGATTTTTGTGCTCGAGGGCTTTAGATTGGGTAGAAGCGCCTCAAGCATGGAGCGACTTCCGGTGCCCATGGAGTCCTTCGAGCTCTTGAAATCCGTAGGACCGTGGTTTCTGCTCTAATAGAGAATCGTAGCAACCAGCTCGTTCTTATGATTGCGATTTTCCAGGACTCCAGGATATGCCCTTGGCTTTCTTCCATCAGGTCCAAGGGGTGCTTTGGCCCGAGCTCGAAGAGCCTCACGCCACTTACAAGCATGCAGAGCTTCGAGAAATTTTGCTTTGCAGCATCTTTGATATTATATTATACCCTCCCGAGGATATCTTGAGTCCTGACGAGCTGGCCATCGTAGTTCAGAACTACCGAGATGGAGGATCAGTGAGGGAGCTCGCGAAGCAGTTTTGGGGGGCCCAGGAAAAGATTCGAGCCTCCGAATGCACTCAGGTTTCGAGGTTTGGCTAATGTGTTGTTCTAAACTCGTCGTGCCCAGGACTCGAAGCCCAACCTTTGACACCGGAGAAGGAGAAGGCACCCAAGAAGGATGTGGGCAGCGAGCAGTCGATTTAGATGATGGTCAACGAGCACTTCATCTGCTTGAGCTGAAAAATGCCTCATTGAGTTTGTGCAAAGCTCCACACCATTGTTTTTTTCGATTGCTGCTTATTGCTGCTTTCGCAGGTTTGACATACTTCGGCTCCGCATGGTCCAATACCGAGCATATCGTTCGTCTTCCTCCCTCTCTCTCACTCTCTCGCACTAACTCGCTCTTTCTCTGTAGAATGGGTTATCGCCCGAGGCCCGGTGAATTCTGCTGGCTGGCTTCGACATACTGCCGGGCGACGACAAGGCTCCCAAATCGTAACTCCCCAAACCCACAACCCCTAAAAAATCACACGCTGCAGCAGGTCTTCCTTTGCAGCTTTTCGCTGGCATACTGCCTAGCGACGACCAGGCTTCTAAATCCTAAAACCCTTTAACACCTAAGAAATCACACCCTGCCGCAGGTCTTCCTTTGCAGCTTTTCGCTGGAGCGATTGGGGTGAGGCCTGCAAAACCGTCGCCTAGCCTGATCTCCTAGAGTGATTTGGTGCAGGTTCTGGCTGCTGGCCTGAGGATGATCGCCCAAGCTGTGCCCCCTCGTGTTTCCCAGATGTGTGTTTTCGCTTCAGTGGTGCATGCATGGATTGAAAGTTCTGCTGTGCTTCTGAAGCTTTTTGGCCGGATCTTTAGGAGCTGTGCACTTGAGTTGCATGCTTTGGCTTCTACAGCACATAACCGACATAACCCTTGCGACTTATTGCATAAGACCCTGCGACTTGCACGACCCACGTCTCGGAGTGCTCTTTTCTCTGCCATACTTCAGCATGGCTCTTGTGCCGACGACTCCGCCTCGCAAGGTGGTCAAAGCGAAAAGGGTCGCAGACTTGACAGGTCTTTGGGAGGCCTGGGAGGAGGACCGAAAGCTACGCAAGCTTTGCAGGAAGAAGGGGTGCTTGTTGGAGTGGGAGCATCCTTCGAAGGTTGGCATGGTCAATCGGAGGTCTTTGATGCTCAACTGGAAGGTGCTCTTGCCTTTGCTTCAAATATACTGCCCCAAGCACGAGCCCAACAAGACCGTACCGGTGCAAAGCCTCAAGAAGGAAGCTACTCGGTAGCACGATACAACTTCAATACTGTAGTACTGCAACTCATGTTTTTCCTGCTT